AAGAGTAAGGTTGAATACCATGTTCACCGTGTCTCTTGCCAAGGGCACTTCTTCAACTTATGGATAACAATGTCATAAAAAACTTTCATCAAGAGTATCTGTATGAGGTGATTGAAAGCAGAAATACGAAGACCACGGAAAGAGTAAGTTGAATACCATGTTCACTGTGTCTCTTGCCAAGGGCACTTCTTCAACTTATGGATAACAATGTCATAAAAAACTATCATCAAGAGTATCTGTATGAGGTGATTGAAAGCAGAAATACGTAGACAACGAAGAGGGTAAGGTTGTATACTATGTTGACTGGGTCTAATGCCCATGCCCCTTTTGCAACTTATGAATAACAATGTCATAAACTCGATAACTGTTGAATGGGAATATACTCAAAACCAAACATCATAAAGACTATCATCAAGAGTATCTGTTTGATGTGATTGGAAGCAGAAATAGGTAGACCATGGAAAGGGTAAGATCTAATACTATGTTGACTGGGTCCCTTGCCTAGGCCCCTTTTGCAACTTATGAATAACAAAGTTATAAACTCAATTATTGTTGAATGGGAATATACTCAAAACCAAACATCATAAAAACTATCATAAAGTGTATCTGTTTGAGGCGATTGGAAGCAGAAATAGGTAGACCACGAAGAGGGTAAGGTTGTATACTATGTTGACTGGGTCTCTTGCGAAGGCCACTTCTTCAACTTATGAATAACAAGGTTATAAACTCGATAACTGTTGAATGGGAATATACTCAAAACCAAGCATCATAAAGACTATCATCAAGAGTATCTGTTTGAGGCGATTGGAAGCAGAAATACGTAGACCACGAAGAGGGTAAGGATAAATAGTATGTTGACTGGGTCTCTTGCGAAGGCCACTTCTTCAACTTATGAATAACAAGGTTATAAACTCGATAACTGTTGAATGGGAAGATACTTAAAACCAAACATCATAAAAACTATCATCAAGTGTATCTGTTTGAGGCGATTGGAAGCAGAAATACGTAGACCACGGAGAGGGAAAGGATGAATACTATGTTGACTGGGTCTCTTGCCAAGGCCACTTCTTCAACTTGTGAATAACAAGGTTATAAACTCGATAACTGTTGAATGGGAAGATACTTAAAACCAAACATCATAAAAACTATCATCAAGTGTATCTATTTGATGTGATAGGAAGCAGAAATACGAAGACCACGGAAAGAGTAAGGTTGAATACCATGTTCACTGTGTCTCTTGCCAAGGGCACTTCTTCAACTTATGGATAACAATGTCATAAAAAACTATCATCAAGAGTATCTGTATGAGGTGATTGAAAACAGAAATACGAAGACCACGGAAAGAGTAAGGTTGAATATCATGTTCACTGTGTCTCTTGCCAAGGGCACTTCTTCAACTTATGAATAACAATGTTATAAAAAACTATCATCAAGGGTATCTGTATGAGGTGATTGGAAGCAGAAATACGAAGACCACCGAAAGAGTAAGGTTGAATACCATGTTCACTGTGTCTCTTGTCAAGGGCACTTCTTCAACTTATGGATAACAATGTCATAAAAAACTATCATCAAGAGTATCTGTATGAGGTGATTGGAAGCAGAAATACGAAGACCACGGAAAAAGTAAGGTTCAATACCATGTTCACTGTGTCTCTTGCCAAGGGCACTTCTTCAACTTATGGATAACAATGTCATAAACTCGATAACTGTTGAATGGGAATATATTCAAAACCAAGCATCATAAAGACTATCATCAAGAGTATCTTTTTGAGGTGATTGAAAGCAGAAATACGAAGACCACGGGAAGAGTAAGGTTGAATACCATGTTCACTGTGTCTCTTGCCAAGGCCCCTTCTTCAACTTATGGATAACAAGGTTATAAACTCGATAACTGTTGATTGGGAATATACTTAAAGCCAAACATCATAAAAACTTTCATCTAGAGTATCTGTATGAGGTGATTGGAAGCAGAAATACGAAGACCACGGAAAGAGTAAGGTTGAATACTATGTTGACTGGGTCTCTTGCCTAGGCCCCTTCTCCAACTTATGAATAACAATGTTATAAACTCGATAACTGTTGATTGGGAATATACTTAAAGCCAAACATCATAAAAACTATAATCAAGTGTATCTTTTTGAGGTGATTGAAAGCAGAAATACGAAGACCACGGGAAGAGTAAGGTTGAATACCATGTTCACTGTGTCTCTTGCCAAGGCCCCTTCTTCAACTTATGGATAACAAGGTTATAAACTCGATAACTGTTGATTGGGAATATACTTAAAGCCAAACATCATAAAAACTTTCATCTAGAGTATCTGTATGAGGTGATTGGAAGCAGAAATACGAAGACCACGGAAAGAGTAAGGTTGAATACTATGTTGACTGGGTCTCTTGCCTAGGCCCCTTCTCCAACTTATGAATAACAATGTTATAAACTCGATAACTGTTGATTGGGAATATACTTAAAGCCAAACATCATAAAAACTTTAATCAAGTGTATCTTTTTGAGGTGATTGGAAGCAGAAATACGTAGACCAAACACTGTACCGCAAAAAAACTGTTCAAAAGTAATATTAAGAAAGAATTGTTGTTTATTTTCTGTTAACAATCTTTTGGTGGTACAAAACTTGAAAATGGCTTTGAAATAAACAATCGTTTAGTAAACTAAAGCTTTTTGTCTGACACTTTTAAGAGTTTCTGTCAGTTGAAATATAAAACAATAAATATATGACTTCTTCTTTCATCATTCTGGCTACTTTATCAACCTTTAATCAATACAGCTACTTTCAAAAGCAGAGATAAATATAATACATGAAATCAAAAATATCATAGAATTTGTTGACTGTTTCAACAATATGCCTATTTTATTGGTTGTGATACTTATTATCAAAAATCAGAAATATTTTTTTTCAGTTGATGTAGTAATATCTGGTTAATCATTTTGGGAATATGACACTATTCTAGGCAACAAGTAGTTCTGTAAGGCTGAGTTATTGAGATTTTAAGAAGTTTCATAAACACTAAAGTATTTTAAGGATTTCACTAATAAGAAGTATTTTCCAAATCGTTTATGGAAATCAAGTTGGAAAGTTGCATTGGACAAGTCTATGGACAAAATAATCTTTTTTAAATTATAAAATGTTTTAATGGATCTACGATAATCATTTACCATGCCTGGCATAAAAAAGGGTAAAGAAAAACAGGATGCTCACATAAAACATGTTTCTAAATGCATGTTTGTTGATAATTACAACTCAATTTAAATCTTAGAAAATTATAAAAATTTATGTGATTCATCGCAAATGAAAATCTCTATGTTCCTTATATAATTTAGGACCAAGATAATGGTAAAGCTGGGAAAGTTGATGTTCTTGGATTGTGTGTTTACCCTAACACACTTTTGTCATTAGGTACTTCTGAAAATCTGTTTTCCTCGTGTGTTATCACATTTGCCACAAGGAGATCACAGAATTGGAACTCTTAGCCCGTTCGGAAAATTTCAAGTTGTTTGGAGTTGTGGACTGTCAGGAAACGAATAACCCCAATTTAAAAATTCATTTTTTCATACAGTCATTTTTTTTAAGAAACTGGCTATAAGAAACGAGTACTGGACTACTCGAAGCAAAAAAATTAAGAAAATATCAAATCATGATAAAACTGAGAAATTTTGTAAAATCCAAGAACAAGATTGCCCTGTTGGTCTAGAACTTAAGCAAAAGGAATAAAAATATACTTCCCACATCTAAATACAGCATCGGAATGGAAGCGAATCTCTTGATGTGATAAAAAAGGTCACGAACATTTCATAACATCATTCATGACATCATAATTAAGAAACTCTTAAGAAACAATGAGTATTGATATTTCCAAAACATTAAGAAACTGGAGTATTTAACATCGACCTTTGTTTCTTATTTAAAAAATGAGTGTATCTCACAAACAGCCAAAGGTAGAAATTTGCAAAACTTTGTCATCAATGTACGGGGTTTCTAAGGTCCCATCGAGGCAGGACTTTTTCCAAGGCCCTAGAAATCCTAGGCTCAAAAACCTATAGTTATTTGCGCACAGGGAATTTCAAAGAGGGAGCTGTCTAGTTTCCATACTGCTTGACCTGATGACGTAGTTTACTCTAACCCTAACCCTAACCCTAACCCTAAACCTAACCCTAAACCTAACCCTAACCCTAACCCAACCCTTCATTTGAAATAATTAATCATACTAATTTATAACTATTAATAATGCTTATATATGACTATCAGGTCAAGCAGTATGGAAACTAGACAACCCCTTCAAAGAGGTACTTCAAAGAGGCGTAATCCAGTAAAGTAGAATTTCAAAAGAGTTATAGAAACAAATGTCGCCATTAATGGTTCGTGTTTACTTTTATATCATCAACGACTCTTGGAAGTATTGCGGCGTGGAATAATTGTCCTGTTTGTTAAACTTGAAATGATGCGTGCTGTTTCAAAGGGGAAGCCTTAACCAAACAGGCAAAAAGGTCAACAAATTTTCAACAACAACTCCATATTTGCTCAAATTTCTCTACTACATTGAGCGCGCATTTGAGTAACGAGACAATACAAAATTTCGTATGTTTCGTATAAAAAAATGAGTTAATGCATTTCAGTCGAATTTGTTGCCGTGCGTAGTGAAATGATTTCACTACAGCAGCAAATTCCGGTCAAATCTAAAGAATTATCCAAATATTCAAATTTCAGCATAGACAAAATTCAAGATGACAACTTCAAACCTGAAGTCCATATTTGAGAAATGTTTGTAGATAGCAACATCAACCCGGAACGGAGAATTCCAGCAATCGAACTATTTTCATCAAACTTGACCATTTTCTGAATTTAAGCAAGTAAAATATTCTTTTTAGGAAAGGCCTGTATATATCATGAACAGGCTTTCAGAAACTAAATTCGTATTAAACAGAAATTAGAAATTTCCCGCCAAATCTGTAGTTGCCTCGTTGTGGATTCATTGTCTTTATGGTCACATGATGTTAAAGAACATTTTTATGGAAATCAGTTTTTTTACGAGAGGAAGTGAACATCGCGAGATTCGTTATTACCACTGAAAGCTTTTTGTAAACTTTTATAAAACTTCGGTAAATATGTTGTATTTACTAACTTGGTTAAATTGGTGTTTATTTATCCTCGAGCTAATTGTAACTATTTTAACAGTAACCTGAAATTTTCTCTAAATCAGACTCTTCATAAATTAGGATGTAGAGAAAGAGGCAAACATTTACATTGTTAACATTAACAGTCCATTTACTATCAATTTTTATTGCTTCCCTAGATAATGTCATTCAAAAGAAAACAGCATGATGTAACTTACAAAGTTCTTGTCCTTGGTGAATCTACTGTTGGAAAAACTGCACTCATAAAATGCTACACAGAAAAAGACAAAGATTTCAACCCTAATTTGGTTCCAACTATCGGTTTGTCTTTTTAAAAAGTTACAAGAATAAATTATGAGTTTCTAATTTGACCTGTCAGTGCATTTTGCAGGTCTACATCAGTACTGCTGCCCCATTAATTTTAAACCTCCTGTTTGTTATGTTTTATGTCTTATGGCCTGTTAAACATTAAATTCAGTAAGATGTGCTTTGAAGTGGACTGCTTAGACAATGCTATTTTTGATTAACAGCATTAAGAATGATGGTCAAATTTTATTCACTTCTTTTTCAGGTATAGATTATAAAACAGAGTACATGACAATTGACAAACTTAAAATTAGAGTACAAATTTGGTAGGTTGGTTTCTTCCTCAAAACTCTAGATAAGCAATTTATTTGAAACAATTTCATGGAAAATGCTATTAATTTCCCCCTTTGCCACAATTCAGGAACTAGAAGGAACTAGTTAGCTTTAACTTTAACGCTTACTTTAACACCAACTTTATCGCCACTACTGAGCATCGCTTTAGCATTTTGCTCAATTGAATAAAAGAAATTTAGTTGGCCACTGCAAAAGGATAAGATTGGTAGAGTCTTAGCTAGAAAACCAGTAACTCAACCTGCTCTGACAGGTTAGAGGATTACCAACATAGCAAAATAACTGATTTTTCTACACTCTGTAACAGGCAAGAGGAGCTAAAATTTTATATTTATCAAATCACCCTCTGTTACATTTTGCAGCTAACCAAAAAAAATCTTTTAATACATTATTTTAAACTTTTTACATAAGGAATTTATTCAATAAATTTTTGAAAATGCATTACTTTAATTATACAAGGATTTTGCCATGGCTCCTGCTCCTCCTGTAGCAGGGGCTCCTCCAGCAGCTGGGGCACTACCAACATTGCAGATGAAGTCACCAATGTTCCTTCTCTCTAAAGCCTTGGCAAAAAGTCCTGGCCAGAAAGGCTCTACATTAATTTTTGCTGCCTTAATCCACTTTGTGACTTTTTCAGTCGTAACAGGGAAATCATCATGGAGGATCAAAGTACTGTATACACATGCAAGTTGCGACATTTGAGCCATTGCTCCAGTAATTTAAAGTCTTTCACTCTTTTTAAGGTTTATAAGTTAGATTTAGATTACCAGTACAATTTTGCTTTAGCTTTTTAAACTAATCTTTTAGGGATACTGCTGGTCAAGAAAGGTTTCGTACAATGAATGCTATGTATTACAGAGGTGCAAAGGTAATGCTTTGTGTAAATTTTTAACTCATTGAAATATGCGCTTAAAATGTGATGCAATTTCTGTCTATCTAATGAGAATAAGCCTTCAAGTTTTCAATATACAGTTTGGCTTGATTATGATCTAAACCTGTCAAAGCTTTTCAGTTTATGCAGCCCCCTGTCCCTTCAGTTATTGTGTCTCTGCCTGGAAGAAATTGTCAATGGGTAAATTAGCTGACCATTTTTACATGTATAGGGAATTTTACTGGTGTATGATGTTACAAACAAAGACAGTTATTTGAAGGTAAAAGATTGGATGGAGGATCTTAAGCAGGTATGCAGCCATTTTGTCTTCATGAAATTGGTTTATTCTTTTCCATTAAACAATTTTACAGTCATTTTGCTGATTCACAAGAAAGAACTTCTACTCAACGTTGTTTTCTATATTAAAGCATGATTTGGACAAGGAGGAAATAATTTTAATTGGCAATAAGATTGACTTGGAGCACTTGCAGGAAGTTGCTTCTGATGAGGGAAATAAGGTGAGGAGTAACTTGTATATCTAAATTGTCTTTCTCAATGTTACATGTCAATTGTCACATGTCAAATTTTGCTGTGTCTTAAAAGCTCTGCCCTCCACCATTTTACTCTATATTTTTATCTGTAATTTGTATCTTCTAAAATAGTCATCCGTATTGAATGATATTGTTCACCTAACTTGTCATCACTAGTAAAATCTGATTATTTTTTCTTTTCTTGTGTCGATTTTAGTTGGCAATGAAATATGGTATTAAGTTTATGGAGACAAGTGCAAAAACTGGAGAAAATGTTAATGAGGTTTGTGAGCCCTATTTCTATATAAAGAATCTTTAAACCTGTTGTGACCTGTGGTTTCGATTAGTAATACACATGTATGTAGGCCATCTTTTAATCCACTTGCAAACCGCAAAAGTTCTGTATGGGGGGAGCTGGGTCTAGTACATTATGATACTTAAAGATGTTGCTTTTGAAGTTTCATTAATCATATCTGTGGCATTTTGAAATATGTAGAGGTCTTCTTTAGGCTTGTAGCATATTCATTTTATTAAATACATTTTTATTTCTAAAAGCTGTGAGGGCAAGTCTCTGTTTATATAAAAATGAGGACAACTGCCCTGTTGTTAAATACAATAGAAAGACTTGATTGGCTACCCCCCCCCCCCCCCAAAACAAATATTCTATTTTTCTCTGTTGCTATTGTACTTCTATTAGGCTTTTAAACATACACAGTCCTTTCATTCAACATATTAGGATAACAGGATGCAGCCTCCCTTTTCAGGCTTAATATTTTTGAATGACTCAATACAGAGATTTTATGGTGATATTATGTGCAAATCTTATGTTTTTGATAGAATGCAACAGTTTTTGATATGTTTCAATGGCTCTTTTTTACAGAACCATTATGTTGCTGGTCCTTTGCATGTTATTTGATTATTAATTATTCAATTTATTTCCCAGGCTTTTCTAACTTACAAAAGAATATATTATCAACATTTCCCAAGGTACCAAATCAAAATTTAACAGCAGACAGAAGAGGTCAAGAATATGTCCAATTTTTTTAACATATTTCAACGTATTCAATAATCAAATTTACTCATTTTACTAAAGTAAAATGTAGGATGGAAGTTCATATGTAGACCTTTTTTAATTACTGTGTTGTAGTTTTATGTGGTAGCATGTATAGTAAAACACAATTTCTTCGGATTTTTCAAATCTTGTGTATCTTTTTGATGTTTTTATACATTGTTCAAGGTAGCCAAAGAACACAAAAAAACTCACAAAGATCTAATTAGAAAATAGTGGAATACCAATTAATAAACCCCGTTTAAATCTTCTATCTACCGGACTGAATATCATGTTCCTCTCTTATTCTACTGAACAAAATCCTATATCTTAACATCTCAGGTTTTTAATATTTTTCAAACTCTTAAAGTAAAAAAATGAGTACACTGTGTGTTGAGTAAGATATACAAAAGTGTAATACTCATTCAGTACACCTACAATTTACTGCTTTCCTCTTACAGCATTGAGCAGTTATGATAGTGCCAAAAATATATAAAAAATATTGTGCAGCTATATGTCACAGCTTATTTGCATTATGGACACCAACATTCTTATGCAAAGAGGACAAAGCTCCATATTGTTGTGGAAAGATTGGATTATCTGTACGAAATAGTTTTTTTTTGAGAAAAAATCTACTTTGAACAATAGAGAGGCTTATTTTTTACTGATTACACAAATATATTTTCTGAGAAATTTCTCTACTTCTCTACTTTCTCTACTTCTATTAAAACAAATTTATATGATATAAAAATATTGATATAAATTGAACGAATCAGAAATTTACAAAACATTCCTTTAATACTTTCTGATATTTCAAAAATTTCTAATATGCTCAAACTGTTAAAGAGGTTATTTAGTACAATACTTTAATATACGTTAACCGACACCTGAGGCCTAAAAGAAAGGTTTGATGCATGTTGACAAATTCTAGGACAATAACTTAGATTAGGCCATATATTTATACAGAACCTGTTTCTTCTTCAGAAGGCACTAAAATAATGCAATTCACTGAATACCAGAATAGGTTTTTTTTAATCCTTTTAATTCTTTGTGTCTTAGTTTTAGGAGTAGTAAAATGAGGAATATTTTTCTGTATTCTTATAACATTTGCCTTAACAAAAGATAATTATTAAAAGGGCACAGATTGTCAATTTTTCTAAATAGAAACTAAGAAGACAAGACTGCACATATGCATGATATACCTAAGATTTAGAGGCCATGTATAATAAATACAAATTAGCCTTAAAGGACAACACCAACCACAGAACCAGATTCCCCATTCTTTTTGGCAGATTGTTTCAGATTTAGACTTGCATTGGTGTCATGGCTGGACCGATGAACTGCTTCCCCAGTCCTCATTTCCTACATCTGATGAACCTTGAAAAAAATTAGTATGACTTACTTACTTTGAAATTCAAACACACAGCACATCTTTATAATTTCTCTACCAAGGTGATGCATTTTGGGGGTCCTTCTTTGACGAGCACCAATATAAGGGTGAAAGGTTGCATACAATGATAAGCTGAACATTCTTAAAGATTTTTTGAGGATGCATATGGGAGAAAATTATCTGAATTATTCAGTTTTCCTGTTATGTGGAAAAGGTCTTTAAGAGCTTGTTTCCATCCATTCCTGCTTTAATAGCTTGTTTTTAAAATTTGCTGTGAAAATCCCGCACATACTTTTGTTGCACATACAACAATTGATTGTAAAATTCAGAAACATGACACAGCGTATACAAATTTATTTGTCTCAGAAGGATTTTGCAAGCAAACAAGAATAAAAATAGTTAGCCTTAGTAACAATTTTTCTGCAGACTAATTGTGGATTTTTTTAGATTGAGAATTGGTTTAAATGCTGAAAATTTCAAGGCCTGAGTAGATAGAGTATGCCTTTTTGTTAAAAAAAGATTTGGGTGGAGTGATGTCCCTGTCTGTATCACTTCAATTACATTACTGGACATGACAAGAAGGAATAAAATCTAGCTTCTAAAATTAAATTCTCAATGATCAACACATAACTTACTGTAAAAGGGTCACAGGAATCTTTCATGTTGTAAACAAGTTTTGTAAATGTCTAAAATTGGAAAAAGATCTTTAGAGAATCACCTTTTTCCAACATTTTACTAACTAGGGA